AGCTGCCGTACATGTTCATCTGGAAGACGGCGCCAGACGTCTGGCACAGGAAGCCCGAGAAGGGCCAGTGGTGCCGGGCGTAGTAGGAGAGGCGCAGGGGCAGCGACAGGGTGAAGAGCAGGTCGCTGGCCGCCAGGTTGCACATGTACACGCTCACTACCGAGTTGATGCGCAGCACACGCAGGAAGACCCAGAGGGCCAGAGCGTTCAGGGGGAGGCCGGTCGCCAGCACCAGGCTGTAGACCACCATATGCAGACGGTGTGTGCCCTGGTAGTCACGGCACTGGGACACCGAGCTGTTGTCGGTAGCAGAGGCGTTGGCTGAAGAATTGGCAAACATCGTGTCCAAGTGGGAAGAGAAACTAGGCTGAGACACCACGGGGGAAATACTAAAGTCCGAGCATGGCTTTCACCTCCAGGGTGGTGGTAGCCTGGTGTCTATACACAGTCTGTTCCAAAGCAAGCAGAGGCGAGACATGGGAGTGTGTGGTCTATGACCTCAGGGGCAGGTGACTGGCCAAGGCTGGAAGCCTTCGGTGGCACAGCTTCAGCAGTGCAGACCTGGAATCAGAACAACGCAAGCCAAAAAAAAAAAAAAAGTAAAGTTACTAGAGACAGAACCATAGTCTAAATGCTTAGCTAACCTGACTGGCCCCCTGAGTCCATTCCCACCCAGCTCAAGGCTCTTCACTCCATGTTTCTCCAAGAATGGCTTTTTATAGCTCCTCTCCATCATCCAGTGTCATGCCCGGGTCCTGCTGACATGGATTCCAGACAGGCTATGCATGAGTGCTGGCTTTGTCACTTGCCTCACTTGATGAGGCATTTTCTCTGAGTTTCATTTTCCTTATCTGGGTGCATGTGAAGGAGTTTGAATGGCCTCTACTTCAAGACGCTGTTTGGACGTTTAAGTACGATTAAAATGCTTCAAGTGCTGTTCTTAGAAGCTGCCTTCCCTCATTACCTTAAATGCTTACTGGATCCTTGGAAGGTTCCTGCCTGTTCCAGCAATGAACAAAAACAAAGGCCTGGCCCACCCACCTATTTCACATTCCATTAGAAGACTAACAACAACAAACAACACAAATAGGTTTGACAGAGCTATGGGCACTTTCTCTGGGCCAGGGACCGGGTTGGTGCCCTGTTATCTGAGGAATAAAGTTCAGACTCTCAAGTCCAGTACAAAATCCCAGTCCTGTTCATCATAGTCACCTTTTCCCTTGTGGGCTGGGTTTGGTCAGAGAGACCTGCTGGACTCAGCTTGACTGACCTAACCCTTCATTCCTTCTTCTATAAAATGGGAATAAGAATGTCCCGGTGTACTCCAAGGCAGTTGCCATCAGCCTTGGCCAGAGGCACATCATGAACACTTTAGCCTTCCTATTAGGAAGGTGGGGGAAGGCCCCAAGGCGGTGGTTCTCAACCTTCCTGAAGTTGCTTCCCTTTTATACAGCTCCTCGTGCTGTGGTGATCCCCACCCCCAGGCACAAAATTATTTCGCTGTTACTTCATAATGAAAAAAAATTTGCTACTGTTATGAATCATAAGGTAAATATCTGGTATGCGGGATGTGATTGCTACCCCCAAAGAGGTCACAACCCACAGGTTGAGAGCTGCTGCCCCAGGTGTTTCCTGTGTGAGCCCTCCCTACTAAACCATAGTACACTACCTACAAGGGAACCAACTGGTGTACCAAGGACAGCCAAGTAGATAATGGACAAGGTAGGGGCTTAGGACCCCACCTCCCTCAAGTGCAAAAGGCCACAGGAGCCACCTTTCCACCCCTGCATCATACACAATTCATGTGTGTGCGCATGTGTGTATCAGAATAAATATAACTTAATCCTTGACATTTATTTTTGAGACAGGGTCTCATGTAACCTAGGCTGGCATCAAACTTGCTGTGTAGCTGAGACTGGTCTTGAACTCCTGAGCTCCTTGCCCCAACCTCCCAAGTGCTAGGATTACAGGTGTGTGCACCATCCTTAGCTCCATTTTTACTTACTAAATTTTATTTTACTCTTCTCCCTAGAGATGCCATCTGACTGTGCTGCCCAGGGCTGAAGTGATCTCTGCCTCAGCTGGGAATGCACCCATCTCTAACATTGTTTTATTTATTTCAATTTTAAAAGATATTTTAAATACTTTTTTCATTTTATGTTTATGAGCATTTTGCTTGAATGTATGGTTGTGCACCATGTATGAGCCTGACGCCTTTGGAGACTAGATCTAGAAGGCACGAGCCTCCTTAGAGGCAGAGGTGTGAGCAGCTGTGTGGGTGGTGGTAACCGAACCACAGTCCTCTGAAAGAGCAGCAAGTGTTTTCAACCTCCAACCTTTTTAGTGTGTGTGTGTGTGTGTGTGTTTCAGGGTTTCTCTGTGTAGCTCTGGCTGTTCTGGGACAGAATCTCTCAGTGTAACCCTGTATGGTCGGGAACTCACTATATAGACCAGGCTGGTCTGGAACTCACAGAGATCTTCCTGCCTCTGCCTCTCAAGTGCTGAGATTAAAGGCACGCACCACCTGGCTCTCCAGGTCCTTGTTATTATTGTTTTAATTATGTGTATTTGTGTGTGGTGGTGGGGGTGCATATGAGTGCAGTGACCGAGGGGGCCAGAGTCCAGGATTTCCTGAAGCTGGAGTTACAGACAATTGTGAGACACCTGACCTGGGTGCTGGGAACAGAACTTGGGACCTCTGGAAGAGCAGCAAATTGAGTACTTGCTGAGTCATCTTGCTATCCCCTACATCATTTTGAAGAGTATAACTTTGTGCCATTAATATATAATCCTGACCACAAATCATTTCCAGAAATAGAATTTTTTCATTATACCCAACAGTGATATACCCATGAAGCAATACTGCCTGCCTTGCCCCTTCCCCAGTCTCTGGTACCCTCTTCTCTGCTTTCTGCGTCTGAATTGTCTGTTCTAGATATCTCATGGGAGTGGGGTGAAACAGTGTTTGCCCAGTGTCTGGCTTATTTCACTCAGCATCCTGTTTCCATATCTGCTCATTCTTCCATCTATCCTTCCACACAGCCATCCGTGTTGTAGCATGTGATAGAATTTTTTTCAGTGCTGGTAAGGGGTGGAACCCAGGGCCTTACAAACACTAAGTATACCCCCATGGGTAATGCACAGCTGGAAGGCTGAGACAGGAGGAACAGGAATTCAAGGCCATCTTCAGCTACATAGAAATTCGAGGGCTGGGAGTTGGTGAAGCATGCCTTTAATCCCAGCACACGGGAGGCAGAGGCAGTGTGCTCAGTGAGTTCAAGGCCAACCCGGTCTACAGAGCAAGTTCTAGGACAGGCTCCAAAGCTACACAGAAAAACCGGGTCTCTTGAAACTGTACCCCCTCAAAAAAAAAGAAGAAGAAGAAGATGGAGGCCAGTCTGAACTACATGAGACCCTGTCTCAAACAAACTAACACTAAGCTTGCACTCTTCCACTGGCTACAAACTCAGCCTGTGCAACAGAATTCGTACACCACATTTTACTTATCACTCATCTGTGAGTAGACATGGGTTGTTTCTATGTTTGACTAATGAATAATGTTGCTGTTGAACATAGGTGTCTAGGTAGCATCTCAGGGAAAGGGGTTGTCTTAGATTCTGAGTATTATCTCCAAAATACTAAGTTGAGGTAGAGAGATGGCTCAGTGGTTAAGAGCACTAACTGTTCTTCCAGAGGTCCTGAGTCCAATTCCCAGAACCCACATGGCAGCTCACAACCATCTATAACTGTAATTTCATGGGATCCTATGTCCTCTTCTGGTGTGCAGGTACACATGCAGACAAAACACCCATATATGTAAACCAATACTAAACTAATTCTTTTCAAAAAGGCTGGCGAGATGGCTCAGTGGGTAGAAGCACCTGTCCCCAGGCCTGCCCACCTGAGTTGGGCAGTTGGATTCCAGAGTCCCATAAAGTGGCAGGAGAGAACTAACTCTTGAGAGCTCTCCTCTGACCTCTACAAGTACAAGTGATACATGCATGCCTGTATACACATATGTAAAGTAAATGTTATACATTAAAATTGCACTATGGAAATAATTGCATTAGGATTGTGCTCTGGCTCAGTGACAAACTACTTGCCTATATATTCAAGGCCCTGGGTTTGATATTCAGCATTTCAATAAATAAATTAGCTTATGGTACTAAATTGCAAGCCTGACTATATCAAATTTATGGAGGCTTTTTTTGTTCTCCCTCCAGCAACCAGCATCTCAAGATTTGTAGGAAGCATAATAAAACAGTTAAAAGGGAATAAATATTTCCTCCATGAAATACCAATTTCAATAATGAAAATACCATCAGCCCTCCACATGTAGGTTCCATGTATACAATATATGTTCATCCAATCTCAAAGAAGACAAATATTTTTAAAAATATGCATCTAGCCAGGCATGGTGGCACATGGGGCAGACAGACGCAGGATTTCTGTGAGTTTGACACCAACCTCGTCTACATAGCAAGTTCCAGACCAGCCAAGGCTATACAGTTAGGTCTATCTTTTTTTTTTTTTTTTAATGGATCTAAAGTCAGGCTTAGTAGTAGTCCGGCTTAGTCTGTAGTCCCAGCACTTAAAAGGCACAAGCAGGGGCTGGAGAAATGGCTTATTGGTGAAGAGCACTTGCTGCTCTTGCAGAGGATGTGAGTTGCCAGCACCCACACGATGGGATTACAACTCCAGTTTCAGGGGATCCAGTGCCCTCTTCTGAGATCCATGGATACCAAGACACACATGGTACACATACATATATGCAAGCAAAACCCTCACACATGAAATACAATGAATACATCTAAACATGTTTTTAAAGACTAGAGCAGAAGGAATTTGAAGCCAGCTTGGGCTACAGTGTGTGAGGCTCTGGAGAGAGAGAGAGAGAATGTTGCATCTAAGCCAGGCTTGGTGATCCTGCCTGGAAACACAGACTTGAGGGGCAGAGGCCAGCCTGGACTACTCGAGATTCTGTCTCAATAACAGGCCAGGTGTGGTGCCTCACACTTGTAATCCCAGCATTTAGGAAGACTGCCAAGAGTTCAGCCTAGATTTCGGGGGTGGGGATTTCAAGACAGGTTTCTCTGTGGCTTTGGAGGCTGTCCTGGAACTAGCTCTTGTAGACCAGGCTGGTCCCAAACTCACAGAGATCTGCCTGCCTCTGCCTCCCGAGTACTGGGATAAAAGGCGTGAGTCACACTGCCTGGCTCAGCCTAGGTTACAGAGTGAGACTTTTGTCTCAAGAACAAAACCAGCCAAACAGATTGCATCTAGCTGCTTGGGATGCTGAGGCAGGATTATCACTTGAACACAGGAAGTTAAAGGCAACTGTTGAAACACAGCAGGATCCCATCTCAGAAACAAAACAAACTAAAAAACATGAGTCTGTCTTGAAAAAATATATATATATATAAATATATATATTCAATATATCTATATCTATATCTATCTTTACCCTTATTATTATTCCTCAAAAAGTATAGTATGGAAGTATTTATAAGGTCTGGCAAGGTGGGTATCACAGATCTCAG